AGCTACCGTTTCAGGCTCCCTGCAGCCATCTCCGCATCAGTTACACCTGTAGCGCCCCCTCTCCACCTGGTTACCTCCTTTAATGCCAATCCGCTTACAGGTCTGGGTTCTTTTGGATACCGCCACCCACTCAGCAGGGTGTATCTTCTTTCTTTTTACCTATGAAATTATTTGGCAGTGCCTCCACCCCCCTCACTCCTTCCTGGCAGGGTCACCAGGGCAGCTTGGGAGGAAAATTCTAACCACAGGGTAATCCCCACTTACTTGCCAGATAGTTGGAGACTTCCAAGAAATAACACAAACACATACAATATATTCAACACAATAATTATATTAAACAGGAGACAAATACAACATAAGAGGGTAAAACACTATTTTTAGGGTCACCAGTGCCCACACTGCAAATACCCGTGACTTGATGAGGCAAATGTAAAATTAGTGTCCCATTGGTACGTGTACTTTGCTGGGGCTCTTGACCTATAACCAGAAAATTCTTCTCTGCAGTGGTTTAGCAGTGTGGCTAACTGGGTTCAGTACAGCCCAAAGGACTCACAAGTGGGAGAAGTTGGTAAATCCCTCCACAGGTGTAATATGCAGCAGGTTATAAAATCCTCAAGCCCTTACTCCCTGGCTTGAGGACACAGTTCAGGGAGTAGGGGGTCCCCAAAACAAATTCCCTGACTAACTAACTAAAAGATGGTGTACTCACAAACTCCATAAATGATCCTCAGGTTCAGAGATGACTCTGGACTCCTCAGTCACTGCAGAGGGGCTACACTCTGCTGGCAGGGATCCTTCTCAGGCGCAAATCAGGCTGTGTTGATCCCAGGATTTCCCCTCACCACAAAGGGGAGCAGGGCTCAAGGTGTAGGTTACACAACTACACTAACTTCCAAACTGTAGCCTCCTAGCCCATCTTCCAGTCACACACTCAGCAGGCAGCTTCCCTGGACTAGCAGACAGAGCAGAGCTGACCACGTGGTGACTGGTCTCACCTAGGGAGCTGGAGGGCGAACTCAGCTGGCTGGGAAGTTTCCCAGCAAATGCTACAAATTGGGAATCATCAGTGGGGAAGGAAAAACCCAGCTGAGGGATCTGCTGTCAGACTCCCTGTTACCTGGGAAGGGGTGGACTAATGTGTAAGGGGTTAGAGGGCCAAGTTGCAGGGGAACCCTGAATGCAGGCCTGGGACTCACCAGCTCCCCACACAGCCAGCCCTGCCCTTTCCCTTACTGGCTCCAGACTGATTCCAAAATGGCTTCTCCCTGGGCTGCCAGCAGACAGATTCCCAGAAATCTATGTAATCTCCTTGCGGGTTACACACCTTTCAACTCACCAGGAGATGGGTTGAAATAGAGATTGATGTCATCCTATTAGTTCAGCAGTCAGGGCCGCCAGGCCTTAATCTAACCCTGACAGAACCTCACAAATTCCATGAGGGCATTTTAGGGAGCATGATGCTGGCTTCTTCCTAGATATTTCCTAAAGGCACATGATCGCCTGTATTGCCCATCTCTTGGGACTTGGGAGGCAACAAAATGCCTGGACATCTTTTGGGAAATACACCCTCTGTTATAGTTGTGTTTGCTCTCAGCTTCCAAACTCGATGAAGCCCTCCTGCTTCAACATTCCATGTTGATAACATTTGCAGTTATATGTTCAAAAGTTAAAAAGAAAACTCAAAGCGCACACTTCAATGTACAAATTGATTGGGGTGGGGGGAGGCAGGTGGAAGTTTTTACAGACAGACCCCTGGGTGCAGCACTATACCAGTGGCCCTATGTCTCACGGATGAAGTTTTTCATCTTCCTTAGGTACTGGCCATGAGCACATGCAGGTTACTGTCATACAAGCAGTGGTCTGATGCACTTCAGTAGTTCTTTTGTCTCATGGTCCTCTTAACCCAACTCCTATAGGGAACACATTTAGGGACTAGCACTGAGCTATCCCAAGGGACCTATGTCCAGGCCACTTTTCGAAGCGGGGAGGAGGGAGAGAACAAGCCACCACCAGGGAAAAAGAAACATTTGATTTTTGTGGGCTGGAGTTGCTCTTTGGTGTCATCTTCTAGATGCCTCACTGACCAGTACTCAACCAGTCACCCAGTTAATCAAGAACAATAGCAAGCCCGTTAACCTGACTGATTAGCTCGTATGTGTCCCATCTCAGCCTCCTGTAGCTCTAGTGAGGAGAGGGAAGGTGGGGAAAAACAATTAGTATGAAGAGCAATGGAGGTTAAATGAATCAGTGCTATGCCTGTCACTCAAGCAGCTTAAGTGATTCCATGCGGTCAGGGCATCCTGACTCGGGTTAAAATAAAACCAAGAACTTCCAGTGAAGGTTGCTTGGGCTAGAGCTGGAAGGGCTAGGGGAGGCAGGGCAAGGCAGGCAGCATTGAGCGGGGTTAGGGGAAGGTAGCAGCTGATGCAGTCTGGGTGCTGAAAGAGCTGGGCAATAATGAATAGGGTCTGTGATCAGAGTTAATTAGCTGCTTTGGGTCCAAGGCTAGAAGGAGAGTGATTTAAAGCAAGGCCCATAAGACAGCAAAAATATCTTTAGGGGCCTTATGGGGGTCTAGAAGGATAGCCCATCACAGAGCAACACTTTCCTGCCTTGTAGAGAAGGGTGATGGCCAGGTTACACCTATAGAGCACTTAAAGGGTGAATGACATGGTCTCAAACTACTGAGTTACTGTCACCACCACATTGGAATTTGCCAGAGGGAAGCGGAGTGTACCCAGTTTTCATCTAGAGAGGTAGCACCCCCTATGCTTTAGGAGGGGGACTTCTTCATATCCTACTGATGGTCCATTTATAGATGGCCTAGTTACCTTAGGATCTAGGTGCCACATTAAACCAGCATTATATGAAAGCTAAAGCCTGTACAGAACTTACCTCACAGTAGCTAAAGTTAAATTTCCTCTGCAGCGTTACCGTAGTATAGGAGTCAGCACTCCTGCCACTTTGGACTATTCATCTTTTAGTTGAAGGAGGAAGGGCACTTTAACCACCCCCCCCCATTCCCACATAGGACTAGAGTTCCTGGCTTGAAAATGAAGACTATGTTTTCCACAAATATATATTTGCCATTACCTGTCTCTCCCCCACTCCTCTTTCGATCTCCATCCCCTCCAAGACTTCTGCATCAATCCTGAGCAGTCAGAGAAGGAACCAGCAGCACATATGCCTGGAATGTGGAAGCCAATGACTGAAGCTTGCCCACAAGAGAGATGCTGAGTATGAAAGTACCAGCTTCCATTTGTGAAACAGAACAGGTAGCTCAGCTGTCTAGAGTGGCTCTCCACAGGCCTGGCCAGGGATAGTCAAGGCCCAAAAGTTTGTCCATTAAAAAGGATTTTGGGGTATAGCTGCACCAGCAAATACCCCTAGTAGATACACAGCTTGTACCAACTTAAAAAGAACCATTGAGTATAGCTTGAACCAGTTCCCTGAACCAAATAAGCTACACTAGCAAACCCCTTTCCCCCTCCAAACATGATGACAGCAAACGTTTTTAGCATCCATCAGGCCAAAAATTCCAATCAGAAATCCTGGCTAGCAGCTGTGGTTCTTCCCCTGCAACAAAACCTCAGTGGCAGAGCCAAGAGTCTTCGGGGCTAACACGTAGCCAGCCCACACGCAATTGAGATGTTTTCTGTTTGAGGGTTAAAGTGACAGCTGCTGACAGTGAAAAAAAATGAATCACCTTGTACACGGCCCTATTCCAGTCCAGCAGTGGGGACAGAGGTCAAACATTACCAGAATTCCCACCAACACTTAACCCAGACGGGCTACCATGTTGGGTGAAGGATTTGGTGACATTGGCTGGTGTCCTAGTCAGTTCGGAAAGAGTTACTCACCCATTAAATTCTCTACTCAAATCCACTGTAGGTTTATGAGTAGGTGGAGACTTCCCATTCCAGTTCTGCCTAACCTGCAAGATAAAGATCTCCCCATAGGTCAATTAGATCAGCTTTCAGGGCCCTGTGCCTGTGCAGATGAAGGTTTACTTACCAGCGCCTGCAGCAACAGTGCTTCCAGTTCATAAAGCTATGGACACTGTTGGGACCTTCCTCTCTACTCAGGGCCATGCTGGGTCATGGTAGTACTAATGCTACCTTCAGCTTGGTCACTGGCAGTTTTATTAAGCTATAGCATCCTTCAGGCACCTGATGATGCTCAGAGAGATCCCAGCTACTATGCCCGTGAAGAGAGGGAGCCAATCCATAGGAATCTGTCTAAATCCCAGGGACCTCTTGAGGATATTTTGCTACAGGCCAGCCAGAGCAGCCTATGTGAGTTAGCACACATTGGCCAGGCCTCACAGCACATAGGTGTAAAGTCAGGGTCCATCCCACCTCGGCTCCACTGTTATTTACCAGTTGATATGGATGGACAGGAACAGCACTAAGGAAGCCTTTGCCCTACAGGTGGGGATGACTGAGGCCAACTGGAGGAGCAGCTCTCAAGAAGCCAAAGTGTTCCTGGTTCCAACAGCAACCATGATGAAAATGGCCAATTTTTGCTTCTGGAGGAGAGCTGAGAGTATGGTCCAGGCACACGTGCATCCCTGGAACAGCAGCAGGCTCTCTGCAGGAAGAAGGGTATTGTGCACACAGGAACTGAGGAATTTCCACTTGCTCCCAGCTGCAGCGGAAACCGAGCTGGTGCAAATTTTATTGGCAGCCACCCATCCACAACACTCCTCCTGCAATGGGATCAGTACCATACAGGACTAGAGGGGAAAAAGGGAGCATTAAGGCAATAGGGGAAACATCCATTCTTTTCCCTACATGGTGTAACCTCCATAAGTTCAAGATGAGAGGAGACAGCAGCTGATGTGACACCCCCCCCCCAGCTTTATCTGCCGGGGGAGGATGTGAGGGGAGTTCAAAGCACAGTAGGTGGTGGAGAGCATGCAGACAAGAAATACATGCTTGTGGGCTGCCTTCACCAGAGAGAGACTGGGGAAGTCCAGGAATCACCTCCAGTCTAACAAGTTGACAGTGCAAGAGAAGCAGTTTATTTTGAGGCTAATTTGCATAATAAGTCTGCTTTCAAGATTGCTGTGTACTTTTCATTGCTAAAGAAACCATTATCAGCTCCATCCCCAAGACACAAGCCAATTCTGATGATATGGCAACAGTAGGGACCATACAGTCCTAAACTTGCTATAGTGATGCACCGCCCTCTAGTGGTCAAACACTTGAAGTGGCGTAAACAGCTTTCAGTTCATTCAGTATACCGGCCAACAGGGATAGGGCTTGGGGAGGGAAGAGGCAGTTAGCTACCATCCTAGCTACTACGGATGTAGAAGCCCTCTACACCAACATTCCACACAAAGGTGGACAACAAGCAGTCAGGAACAGTATCCCTGATAATGTCACAGAAAACCTGGTGTCTGAACTTTGACTTTGTCCTCACCCATAACTATTTCACATTTGGGGACAATTTATATCTTCAAATCAGCAGCACTGCTATGGGTACCTGCATAGCCTCACAGTTTGCCAACATTTTTATGGCTGACTTAGAACAACGCTTCCTCAGCTCTCGTGCCCTAATGCCCCTGCTCTACTTGTGCTACATTGAGGACATCATCATCTGGACCCATGGAAAAGAAGCCCTTGAGGAATTACACCATGATTTCAACAATTGCCATCCCACCATCAACCTCAGCCTGGACCAGTCCACACAAGAGATCCACTTCCTGGACACTACAGTGCTAATAAGCGATGGGCACATAAACACCACCCTATACCGGAAACCTACTGACTGCTATACTTACCTACATGCCTCCAGCTTTCATTCGGACCACACTACACGATCCATTGTCTACAGCCAAGCTCTATGATACAACCGCATTTGCTCCAACCCCTCAGACAGAGACAAACACCTACAAGATCTCTATCAAGCATTATTACAACTACAATACCCACCTGCTGAAGTGAAGAAACAGATTGACAGAGCCAGAAGAGTACCCAGAAGTCACCTACTACAGGACAGGCCCAACAAAGAAAATAACAGAACACCACTAGCCATCACCTTCAGCCCCCAACTAAAACCTCTCCAGCACATTATCAAGGATCTACAACCTATCCTGAAGAACGACCCATCACTCTCACAGATCTTGGGAGACAGGCCAGTCCTTGCTTAAAGACAGCCCCCCCAACCTTAAGCAAATACTCACCAGCAACCACACACCAAAAAAAAACACTAACCCAGGAACCTATCCTTGCAACAAAGCCCGTTGCCAACTGTGTCCGCATATCTATTCAGGGGACACCATCATAGTGTGGCTGATGTGATTAGGTCCTATCAGAGGCTCGTTCACCTGCACATCTACCAATGTGATATATGCCATCATGTGCCAGCAATGCCCCTCTGCCATGTACATTGGCCAAACTGGACAGTATCTACATAAAAGAATAAATGGACACAAATCAGACGTCAAGAATTATAACATTCAAAAACCAGTCTCAGAACACGTCAATCTCCCTGGTCACTCCATTACAGACCTAAAAGTTGCAATATTCCAACAAAAAAACCTTCAGAAACAGATTCCAATGAGAGATTGCTGAATTGGACTTAATTTGCAAACTGGACACCATTAAATTAGGCTTGAATAAAGACTGGGAGTGGATGTGTCATTACACAAAGTAAATGTATTTCCCTATGTTTATTTCCCACCCCCATTGTTCCTCACACCATCTTGTCAACTGCTGGAAATGGCCCATCTTGATTATCACTACAAAAGTTCAATCCCCCTTCCTGCTGGTAATAGCTCACCTTAACTGATCACTCTTGCTACAGTGTGCATGATAACATGCATTGTTTCATGTTCTGTGTATGTGTATATATATCTTCCTACCGTATTTTCCACTGCATGCATCCTATGAAGTGGGCTTTAGCCCACGAAAGCTTATGCTCAAATACATTTGTTAGTCTCTAAGGTGCCACAAGTACTCCTGTTCTTTTTACTCTCCCAAGAACACAGACTAGTGGAAAGGGACGCAGCTAGTCTTGGCCCTAGTGCGACTAAAGCCGACCTCTTAGAGTTCAATAATTTTGTTTCCAAACAGTACATTGTGTCTTGTAATATGCAGAGAAGAGAAAGAGGGTGGTCGACTGGGAGGGCACTACCAAATTCACACCTGTGAAAAACCTGTCAGTGAAATCTGGTCTTGTGTGTACTTTTATCCTATACTATACAGATTTCAAAGGGGAGCCCAGTGTTCCTCAAACTGGGGGTCCTGAACCAAAATGGAGTTGCGGGGTTGGGGTCACAAGGTTATTGTACAGGGGTTGCAGTATTGCCACCCTTACTTCTGTGCTGCCTTCAGAACCAGGTGGTCAGAGAGTGGTGGCGGCTACTGGCCAATGGCCCAGCTCTAAAGGCAGCAGCACAGAAGTAAGAGTGGCAATACTATGTCATCACATCCTTACTTCTGCGCAGCTGCTGGCAATGGTGCTGCCTTCAGAACTGGGCTCCCCGCCAGCAGCCACCGCTCTCCATGACCCGGTTCTGAAGGCAGCGCTGCCCCCAGCAGCAAGAGTGGCAATAGCACAACCCCCCTACAATAACCTTGTGACCCCCCACACCCCAGTTTTGGGTTAGGACCCCTACAGTTACTTAAATCTGAACTTTTCAGTATGTTGTATCTGAAATCATGAAATTAACTACTTTTAAAATCCTATTACTGTGAAATTGACCAAAATGGACTGTGAATTTGGTAGGGCCCTATCAGTTGGAAATATCAGGACTCCTGGTTTCCAGCTGGTGGCAGAGCCAGGGATCACAGTGTGATTGCAGGTAAGTCACTTGACCTTTTCACATCATTTCCTCCACTGCGACTGTCCTCTGTAAAATGGGGTTAGTTCCACCCATCCACCTCACTGGGATGTCAACAACTAGAGAAGTTTGGGGCTGTATAGGCCTTTGAACATGTAAAGTGCTATAATACTTACCATTTATTAATTTTCCATGTGACAGGTGGCTGTGGGGCTCTGAGGGCTCACAGGACCCTGGAAAACAGTCTTACACCTGCATGTGTGCATTTAGTGACATGCCATGTCTGAACATTCAAACAGGGAACTCTGCCTGTTGCTCATAACTGCATACTTCTCAATTATACAATTATCTGAACTCTGATTATCCAAGGTGGAGTGGTTTGCATAGTCACTATAGAATTACCTCTCTGTAACTACAGCGCTCAGATCAATTGCTGTGCTGATTTACTGAAGTAATGAGAATGCTCCAACCAGACCACAACAACTCTGGCTGCCTCAACTTCTCACCCTCCTCCTCATCTTGATGTCTCCATTTAGTGAAAGGCCTCACTTAGAGCGTGGAGTGTAGCAACAGCATATGTGTGGACTTCCTCAGTTCCTAGGGGGTGTTTGACCCCGCTCACGCCAGGCCCTTCCCCCAAGTCCCCACCCCCACTTTGCCCCTGCTCCTCCCCCATGCCGCTGAACAGCTGATCTGTAGCAGATGGGGGTGGGGGGGGAAGAAGGGGAAGGTGCTGATCCGCAGGGCCACTGTTGGGTGCTAACCATGCACTATTTTTTCCCTGGAGGCCCTGGAGCACCCATAGAGTAAGTACCTATGAGCAAGGGGGAGTGGGATCAAGGACCCTGAGGAAATCTGGGGTTAGACAGGGTGGCTGGGTGAGAAGGAAGCAGTCAGGCCTCCATGGTTGCTGTGGGCATAGTGTGATGAGGCCTTCTAAGGTCAGTAACTGAAAAGCACATATTCACTGGAGGAATTATAGCTTTTGGATTCTGTTAACGCAATACAGATGGCACCCTGGCTAAACTAAGTGGCGCTTATTCAAGTTCCTCCAGCCCCAGTTTATTTAGCCCTGAATACAGTAATTGCCTTGAAAACAAGATGTGCTATTACAGCTGTAGGCAGGGGGCAGGAGTAAGAAACAAAACACCCAATTTCTAGTGAACAAAAAGCACACCTCACCCAAAGTTCCAAACTGTGGGAGGAGAGGTTTCCACAATACCACACCAGGAATCTCTCACAGGCAGGCCTCACTGGCAGCCCCTGTTGCCCTATTAAGATGTCAATTCCAGGTGCTTCTTACCATATGACCAAGCCCCCTTGTGGTGTGACCATCACAAGGAGATTCTTATACAAAAGGAGAAAGGACAGAGCAAATATTGCAGTGCACAAGGGTTGGGTTGTGGTGTTTTTTAAGTAAATCTCTTTATTGCAGAAATACGCTCTATGTTTTAGATCTGTACATGCGTTTCTTCCAGTAGGAAGAGGTCCCTAAAAGACAAAGAAAAGCTCAGCAGGGGCTCCACTTCCTTTCTGCTCAGCATATGGCTCTTGTTCTCCAGTTCAGATGCCAACAAATAAACCACCTTAGGGTACAAGCCTCTAGTTACTACAAGAGATGGGGGGGATGCTAGCTTCACTTCAGAGCAATAAAAAAGTGCCACCCCTGTAAGCATCAGGCTGGAGGGATCTGTACAAAGAGGAGGGGATTCAGGAAAGAAAGACTCAAATCACCTTAGAAATGCAATAGCAACGTTCCCCAGTGCTGCCAGTCTACATAGATTTAGCTTTCCCTGGAGGGATGGCATCTGGGGCGAAAGGGAAGTGCAGTCTCCACGGACCATTCAGTCCTTGGCCCACTGCTGAGACTACCAATTCCCTGGAGGCTTCTGCACTTCTTTACCCTCTGCCAAGGGAGGAGTAGCTAACCAGCCAGCCTACCCCTTTAGTTGGAACTGGAGACTATGCCTGGAGAGCCAGTGCATAGGGCTTCATGCTTGCTATTGAAGGCAGACTCACCCACCAGGCCCCTGTACCCAAGACCAGGATCACATTCCATAGCTAGAAATGCCTCCACAGGCCAAGTAAAGTAGCCCACACCTTCCCTTGCAAGGGCAAGGACTTCCATCCACCACTGCAAGAGCATCCCTCCCCCAAGCCTCCTATGCCAGTGAGAGAGATTAGGGACCCCAGGACAGCTCCTTTCGGGGTGTGGGGGGGTGGATTTCTTCACCCAAGGTACATTAGAGCTGCCCCTTGCTGCTGGCCACAGTCAGCACAATCACCAGATCCATTTCCCTTTGTTATAGAGATGCCAACATGTCCAAGATTGGTAGGTGTCACTTGTCCCTTTATGATCCCCAAAATTGGGCAGCACATGCGCCATGAGCGTGAACACCCCAACCTCATTTGGGTTTCCAAGAAGGCAAAAGGCAAAGGTCAGTAGGCAAGACTAGAGCTGCAGTCACAAGCTGGCTGTTTCAGGAGTTTTGATGCGGGGCCTAAAAAGAGGAGGGTGAATGGAAGCTAGTACTCTGAATATTGTAAGCAGTAACTCCCCTTCTTCCCCAGGTCTCAGTCAGCAGCGACCTTGTCACTGCACACACAACCAGACGTCCAGGCACCAAGCCACCCCATTTCCTCACCTAGAATAGAGCCAGCAATCCAACCATCAGCGGTTGTGTGGAGCCAGCTATTAGGATACCCACTGTAGCAACTCCCCTTAAAGCCCATGATCCAGATACCAGTGAGAGTGATTCCAGGCCCCAAGGCACTTAGTTAGCAATCCAAACACGGACAAACTCCTCCCTGTACCCCATGACAGCCATCCCTCCCTGGCCAGCAATTGAGATACAGATGCTTCTGTCTTATCATAATTAAAAAGCCACAGTATTAAAAATCGTAGATTTCATATTGGAAAAATAGTCAGTCATCACCTCTATAAAAGTTGGCAACCTAAGAACATGCCCAGCAGAGCCAGTCAGGGCTGAGCCCACAGACACCTGTGCTAGTCAGTCTCTGAAGTGCCACTGAGCCAACAGGGAGCCAGTGAAAGGGAGGACTAGGGATGGAAGAAGGGGCTATGTAATTAGCAAAGCCCAAGACCCATCTCCCTGTGTTCCAAGAGCAGCTCAGCAATAACATCACAAGCTGCTGGATGGTCCACACTTGGAACAGGTGGGCTTGACTCCTTCCAGGAGGCTTCTAATCTAATGAGAAGGAGAAGGGAGCTACATGGAAGGCAGCATTTGGTTTACTCCAAAAAAAAGGGAGGAATGATTTTGGGGAGCCTGGGGTGTCTGTCTAGAACCTTGTATGCTCAGATTCAGTCTGAGTTGGATGGGGGTAAGGGCAGGGAGAAGACAAAGTGAAGCTAATTGGAAGGGAAGCATTCTTTCACCCACAATGTACTACAACGGGTTACCCATCACCACCACCAGTAGGCCAAGCCCTCAGTCTTCTTGCTGGTTCATTGGATTCCCAGCTCACATGGTGAACAGAGGTGGCATGGGGAGGAGGATTATTCTATTGTTGGCCTGATCGACTGGAAGGGAATGAAGATGGGAAGGAGACTGTTAAACATGGAGTTAGCAGTAAAAACTTCGTGCCCTCCCACGTTGATCAGATCATATGATGCAAGATAGAGAAATGGCCCGCTTCACAGAGTAGGAACTATCCAGAGACAGGAGAGGGGCTGCCCAGGGCTCTGATCACCAGAAGAGTCATATTGTATTGTGCCACTACAGTTCCTCAGTGTTTTGAGAGAAATGGGATCTCACTGGAGTAATGGTCAGTGTGAGGGGGATGAGGCAGGAATGTTCTGTTTGCATCTCTGCGGTGGGGTAGCTCTAGGATCAGAAGACTCATTACTTGGGTACTTTGCTGTATTCTTCTCTGTGTATGTTCTTGCAGAGTGAAATGGCCAGCACTATCCCCAACAGCTGGAAAACAGGCATTGGGAAAAAAAAAAGAGTGTGTCAGAAAACAGGCAGGGTCAACAGGAAAAGCAAGCATTTTGGGATAACTTGGGATCAGAGTGCAAGACAGGCAGACAGCTGGTCCTGCTGCCACAATGGGCTGTTAACAGCCAGCATGAGGACACAGCACTGTGCTGCATAAAGAGGTGTCTTAAAATCTTTGTTACTCTGGTTTAGCCTTTCATACAGATATCACTCGGATTTCACTAACTGAGACTAGTTACCCACATTCTTCTTAGTTATGGACACAATGGATTCCCAGCTACCAGATACGCTGGCAAGACCATGGACAAGAGACACTCCCAGAACAGCCGCTAGTACTTGGATAGATTCACCTTCCAATCCGTAACCTACGGATACTGAACATTCTGTTTGAAGGGTCCTCTCATTGGCTGTTGGAGCTTTGAACCCATCACAGGGAGCATCAGAGCTGTGGTCCCACCCTGGCCAGGTCCCCAGAACCTGAAGAAGTGGCCCAATGTTTAGGTTAGAGAGTGCAGGGGTAGTGGAGACTCACCTCAATGACAGCAACACCTGTACAGACTCCAAGGATGATGCCAAGGTTGTCCTGTAACCAGCTCTGCACATTCTTCATGCAGCCCTAGGAAGGAAAGAAGTAGAGTAAGAGAGTCTATAAACATCTGAAGGGTGCAACAGAATTATCAGACACAGATAAATATGATTTGTTGGGGAAGAGTCAAAGCAGCTTTTGTAAAGGGAAGTCATGCCTCACCAAGCTACCAGAATTCTACCAGAGGGTCAACAAATATGGGCAAAAGGGTGTTGCAGCTGATACAGTATATTTGGATTTTCAGAAAGCTTTTGATAATACGGTCCCTCATAGGTTCTTAAGGAAAATTAAGTAGTTATGGGACAGGAGAGAAGGTCATCTCATAGATCAGTAACTGGTTAAAAGATAGGAAACAGTAGGAATAAATGGTCAGTTTCACAATGGAGAAGGATAAACAGCAGGGTCCCCCGAGAATCTGTACTTGGACCTGTGCAGTTCAACATATTAATTCAATTCAATGGGACGGAAAAGGGGGTGAACAGTGAAGTGGTGAAGTTTGCAGAGGATACAAAATTATTCAAGATAATTAAGTCCATAGCTGACTGGGAAGAGTTACAGGGGCAATCTCATGAAACTGGGTGACTGGGAAACAAATGGACATATGAAATTCAACACTGATAAGTGCAAAATAATGCACATTGGAAAAAAAATCCCAGCTATACACATAGTGATGGGTTCTAAGTCAGCTATTACCACTCAAAGATCTTAAGAGAACCATGGATAGTTCTCTGAAAACTTCAGCTCAATACATAGCAGTGGTCAAAAAGGCTAACAGAACGTTAAAAACTATTAGGAAAGTGATAGAAGACAAGATAGAAAATATTAATGCCATTATATAAATTCATGGTATACCCATGCCTTGAATACTGTGTCCAGTTCTGGTTGCCTCATTTCAGCACAGATATTAGAATTGGCAAAAGTACAGAGAATGGCAAAAAAAAATGACTGGGGTGTGGAACAGCTTCTATATGAGGAAACAGAGTGGGTCTGTTCATCTTAGAAAAGAATGATCGAGGTCTATGAAATCATCAAGGTGCGGAGAAAGTGAAGTGTTATTTACCCCTTCACATAATGCAAGAGCCAGGGGGTCACCCAATGAAATTAATAGGCAGCAGGTTAAATACCAACAAGAGGAAGTAGTTTTCCCTACACTACGCACAATTAACCTCTGGAAGTCATTGCCATGGGATGCTGCAATGGCCAAAAGTATGACAGGGTTCAAAAGAGAACTAGATAAGTGCATGGAAGAGTCATGGATGGACCTACTAGCCAAAGATGGTTAGGGATATAATCCCCATGCTCAGGGCAACCCTAAACCTCTGGCTGCCAGAAGGTGGAAGACGAAGACAGTGGATAGATCACTCCAATTGTCCTGTTCTCTATACTCCCCCGGAATCTCTGCTACTGGCCACTTTCGGAGACCAGATGGACCACTGGTCTTACCCTGTGTGGCCATTCTTATGTCCTTCGGGAAAGGGAACAGCTCCTGTTTCTCCTTCTGAAACATGGAATGACACGGACTTTCCTGACCGTGAGATTTATCAGGCTGTAGAGCAGCATCAGCAGAGAAGGGGTGGAAGCCCCATTGCTTAGGACATTTCAGAGCCAAGCCCTTGAAAATGTATCCTAGAAGGGCTCTGCAGTGTCTCCAGGACTCTAAGGACAAGATGACCTCAATAATAGTTTTCTGTCTCTAGCTTCTCTTAGAATACTACCAGGGAATCACACAATGGATACTTCCCATACAGGTCCCATGAGGCTCAGACTCACCTTCGTATAAACAGGCCAGTCAGCAACTGACACAGTCCTATTATTAGGAACATAGTCACAGAAGCCACTCTTATGCTGACCGTCAGCTGAGACATTGGAGCAGGAGCAGGGGTAGGAAGTCAGGCTTGTGTTCAGGAGGATCTCATTTTCCGTCCAGTTCTGTGGCCCAATCCAGCCACAGCAAGTGAGCTAAGAGCAAAGACAAAGTATTCTCATTTAGATATTTTGGCTGGTAAAAGAGAGGGAGGGGCTGACAGTGGGTAGGGACAGGCTTTCTCCATGCAATATCTACTGCAGGTAGGAAACAAAATGGGAAGTGCAAGGGCTGGATTTTGATTTCTTCTCCATAACAACAACAACATGCCTCTAGCATCCCAGGTCATATCAGAAGTATGCGTGCATGGGGTAACCATTTAGAACAGAGGCACCAATCCAAACTTTACCTGCGTGAGGGCCATTTTGGCAGCTAGCCATGAGTTAGAGGGCCACACCTAATGTGCTTAAAAGAGAGGAAATTGCAGCGTCCCATCTTCAATCCAGAAGTGTAAGACACAGACTACAAGAACCAGCAAGCAGAGCAGCTAGTGCGTTGGAGCATATGAGCCTCACCTCTAGGAAGAAGGCATAGGCAGACATTTAGAGGTCCATAGACCATATGACTTGTACTCAAGTCATGCTTCTATACACACACTGATAAGGCATTCTGGTACTGTCACTTTATGAGTGATAGTATCAGAAGTGTGTTCTACCTCACCCATCTCCCCCCCCCCCCCCCCCACCGGTCCTTAAAAAAACCAAAACCAAAACCCTCTCGCACTGATATAGAGTCACACAAGATTGTGTCTAACTCAGGTCTTCACTAGTTTCCCCTGTAGTTTTTAAAAGAGGTTATCTCCTCTTACCCCCAGCTCATTACAAAACCATGGTGCTGAATGCAAGGGTGCTACTACAAAACGAGGCAGGGCAAGATGGCGATGTTTCTGGCGAATAATGGGTGAGAGCGGGAGGATGGCAGAAGGCATACATGGTGAGCTGGAGAGACTTTGTGGCCTTTATGTTGGCAAGGTAATCCCTTCCCAGAATCAAATCTGTAGAACACGTAGGGGATATAGTTAAGCAGTATTTTTACATGTTTTTACTTGAGATTGTACAGACTCTGAATATTTACTTGATCTTCTCCTTAAGTGTACCATTTCCATAATATTAGATGTCGTGGTTGTAAGAAACCAGAACATTTTGGAGAACATGCAAAGCAGCAACCTTAAAGTTAACTTGCAAAAAAGTTCTATCAATGCAAGGTTCATCCTCTTCTGCCCAGATCTTCAGCCCCTGAAATTTAAGTGCTACAGTAACAGCTGGCCACCACAAGATGGAGCCCACCTGCTACCATGTCTACCCAAAACTTCGGACCCACCCTAGTCATCAGTTTGGGGGAAAAAAAAAACAAACAAACAAACAATGAGGAGTCCAGTGGCACCTTAAAGACTAACATTTATTTGGACATAAGCTTTTGTGGGTAAAAAACCCACTTCCTCAGATGCATGGAAACAGCTTGAGACAGCTGTTTCAAAACAGAATGCGTAGGCTAATGGGGTGGTGAAGAAGAGACAAGACTGGGAGAAATTTTGTCTCATCTGCAAAAAGATCCCAGGGGCCAGACAATTATCTTCCTCCATCTACACATGGAAAGCTGATGGCTTCAGTGGGAAGCATATTCCCCCATGAGGTCTACCCAAGGCCACGTAAATCAGAATTTATGGTCTAGCCGGCTGTCTTATATACAACACCCATCATTCAGTCACCAAGTGCTTCCACCATAATATCGGAGCAAAAAGGTTACCAGAAGCTCACCAGGTGGAAGCCAGGGAGGGATTCAGATGCTTGGCCTACTAGCAAGTCCTCCGGCTTAAACTGGATTTATTTATTAAACAAGGCGACAATTTAATGAAGTGGAGAGTCCTGAAAATGCCAGAGCTGGTGCTTGAACAATTAAAAGACTCCAGTTTAGAGCCAGCATCTGATATTTAAGACTTGAATTGGAACATTTAATTCCACTAACAGTCTCCAGGAAGAGCTAACTCTAATGCAAGGAGATTGGGAGTCTGGACAGCTTGAGCAAGCTGTGCAATGATGCGATATTCCAGAGATGCTCCAGACACAGTACCCACTGTGCCACACACCCTCCCATGGTCACACAGGGACTCTAGTGCTGATGAACAGCATTGGATCCCAGACACTAGACTCCTGTTTATCCCCAGCACAGACTTTGGGGATGCAAGCTTCCCTGCTGCTGAAATGGATTCCGAGGAGGACAGGGGACTCCAACTCCATGGCCCAGTCAGTTGTCTGTAAGGCGGTCAAAGAGGCAAGACTATGATGGCAGATTGTGGCTTGGATTTTTCCTTTAGCATCCCAATAGAAACCTACACAATGCGGCTCTCCATCCCCATCTGCCCCATAGACCATGTAAAGTGCTTTTTGGTGCGTGGGAGTTTTAATCCCCAATAGGTAGGATGAAAACTGAAATGTTAAGAGGCTGATTTAGACACCTGGAGTCAGGAGTACTTGGTCTTCACATTTATGCTTTGAGAATACAACACTGCCCCATTTGAGCTGCTGGGGGAGCCTGTGCATTCCAATTCACTGCCCCTCCTGCCACAACATGCTCAAGCTCATCCTTTTCTCTTTTTGTCCTGCTCTCTGTCCTATCGCCTTCCCCTCTATGCCTGAAACCCCCTCTCTGACTTGGTCTGGACATGCCTCCACTCTCCCAGCCAAACCTCTTAGAGTATGCTCTTTCCAGAAAGCATAGACATTGAAACAAACAAGAGCCATGGTACTAGAGTGTCCCTTGTTTTTACTGCATCCATTTATCCTGGCTAGATTGCAAGCTCTCAAAGGCAGGGCCCTTATTCTCCGGTTTGCCTGCAAAGCTCCCATCACAGTACTGGAGCTAGGTAAACATGACTCTGGCATGCCCAAATGCTGAACCAGGACATTCACTTTCCCCACCAGCTGTTCAGGCAGCGACCTTGATGCCAAGAGCAGAACCCATGGGCAGCTGGCAGGCTCCCAGCAATGCTGGCACCTGCAGATAAGATACTACACCCTAGGGAGTAGGGCAACAGATTCAGCTGGGCTGCCTGGCATTAAACCTTCAGATTAGCACACTACCAAAGAAATTAATCCCAGCAAAAGGAGTCAGTGGAGTATGAATGCATGGCTTGGTGCTGGGGTAAAGGAGTGCAAAGTAGTGGGGGTGGGGTGCCTCTGGAGAGTAAGGCTCAAATCCCCATTGTCCTACCTACGATGCAGTACCCACTCTCCACCCCTACCCCTTTGGGTCCAGCAGCTGCAGGGCCTTGCCTGAGAACAGCAGCCAAGATGGCCTCTCAGCAGGTAGGCACTCAAACCCTATACAGCTGGTTGTGCTGCTTGGCCAGATGGCAGGGCCCAGTGCAGTTCCCCTCCTCAACAGGCACAGTTCTACAAACACGAATGAGAACAAGGAACAGTCCTTTCCAGTAACAGCTTCCTAGTGCACGAGCCAAGTGCTGCAGCTGGAGACTAGCATGGTGAGAGCAATGCCAGGCGAGAGCCACAGGGCCAGACTGTAAGAAATGTTCAACAGGGAGAGTAATTAACCACTGGAACAATTTACCCAGGATCAAAGTCGATTCGCCATCACCAGCCATTTTTAAAATTAAGATAGGATGTTTTTCTAAAAGCTCTGCTCTAGCAATTACTTTGGGGAAGTTCTGTGGTCTGTATTACACAAGAGGTCAGACTAGAGGATCACAATGGTCCCTTCTGACCTCTGAATCTATGAACAGAGAGATTCAAGACACAGGGCAACTGGCTAGGGAAGGGATTCCTGAAATCCACTGGCAAGGAGGCTGGAGGGCATCACTGAAGGGGGGTGCACAGGACTGGAAGAGTGGGGGCCATGAGACAGGCTGAGAGGCAGTCAAGAGAAGGGGTTGCTAGAGTTTACCCAGCACCTGCCCCTACTCTCAGTCTGACTCTAGCAGTATCTCACTTTTGTCCAATGCCAATGTTTGCCACCCCACCACCACATACAGCATTGTCTTTTCTCCTCACCATCCCTCACGCAATGACTCACCTGTTCCTGTACATAGTCCCATGCATCCTGGATGCTCTTTTTGTCTGGATCATGAGGGTCATAATCCCGAATGAGGTTACGGACCACGATGGACACTTCTGCTTTCAGCTGGCAAATGGAAGACAAGAGGGTTAAACACAGGTCACTCAAGATTGCTGCCCATGCTCTGGAGTTTGCACTTGCTTCTCCAGGGTTAAAGATGGGATACTATCAGCCTGGTTGTGCAACTCTCACTGCAGACTTAGCCAAGTGGTTTCCCCTCTCAGTACAGAGAGGCTAAACACACTGACTTACTAATGAAGCCTCAAAGCCCAGGGTATTTGCAAAGTACATTGAGATCCGCAGTGACTGACCAAGGTCAAATGAAGATGCTGGGCATTAGGGCAAGATTACACACAGGGAGGTGTGCAGACTCCCTCTGCCTCTTTTCAAGGAGGAAGAGTTGACTGGAAAGGTGGTGCAGCTGGAAGTTTGGCCAGCTTCTTCCCTGAGACCCACCCGGACAGACCACTGTATCTGCACCCAGCACTGTGGGAATCAGAACCCAAGTCATGAAACTAGGGTTCCCCTACTCAGCCTTGGGTGAGGGCAGTAGACAGCAGTCAAGACCCCTTGCTGGTAATTTACTGACAGATCCTACTAACTGGAGAGCCCAGCTGCATCTCAGAATGCAAATGGTAAACTCCCAACATACCTTGCTCTAGATCTCCCTCCCCATCAGTAAATACCCCACCACCATATTGCCATTCATACCCACCCAGAGCCTGATTAGCTTGCTCTGCTTGTCACTCTCAGCGACACCTTCCTCATGGTCAGTCTCTCTCTCTTCCTCTCCCCCTCAATTCCCACTGCCTAAAAGAGTCTCAGGTCCTCCTCAGTCACTACTCTGGATACAGCAGCAGCTGCCAGGGGAGAGGGGAAGGATCAGGTCAGAAGGAGCATGGGGGAAAGCTAGAGATTGCATTAGAGCCAGGAGCAGAGTTGATGTCCACTGTAAGCATTTGAAATGCCCCCTCTCTCTCCCCGCCCCCCCCCCACACCATCAAGTTCAGTGGTGCCCATTTTTTTCACCCCCACTGATGTGGTGCTGGAGTCAGCATTTCCAAGCCAACCCAAGGTTACTGTAACCTGCCTGGATCAGCCATCTACTTTTTGGTATAAAGTGACCTGGCCCAGCCAGCTTCAGCAATAATATTTACTGCTGCAGCTGCACAAGTTGCCTCAGGGCAAAGCTCATCTCAAAGCCAGGGTTGTTCATGACTCCCAGCACCAGGCAGCACTCTGTGTTCTTAGGGAATCTGCAGATTGGCTTTCTGTGGGGACAGTCAGGTTCAGCCACACAGCTAGAAGTCACGTGACCTCTCCTCTTCCCTCAGCTGACTTCTAACCCTCTTCCCCTTCATTCTTGGCAAACTTCTCCCCCCACCCTGTTCTCCAACTCCAGGGGAAATGACAGCAATGTGACCTGGTTCCTGCTAATGGGATTGGCCTCTGCTGCTTCAGTAAGCTCAAAAGGTTACTGAATCTTTGGGCCTCCTTCCTTCTTCCCTTCCCACACACCTCTACAGAGGCAGGCAAGAAGAGCTACTCTTCTACTCTGAACCCCACCCAGGAAGTCATCTGCCAGCCTGCACATTCAGTCAAAGCAAGGTCAGCTTAGCAAAAAGACTGAGCCCTGTTCAAGTGCTTCAGTCCCAGATTTTGATCAGCTCCATTACTGCCCACACCAAAACTGCTGACAGCATGACGTGGGCCTGAACCAGAGCCCCAGATCTGAGCCCCTCAGAGCTCAGGGAAAAGCTCTGCTCACGCACAGCTCTAGCTTGTTTTATTGCTGTGCAAATCACATGAGGAAGTGGCTCTAGTTCTAAGCTAGGGGGTTTTGTACAAGTGTAACCCACACACCCCCTGGGTGTGGTGTTCTGTCCAATCTAGTGGCACCGAGATCACTTAGAGACACAAAATAAGTCTGCTCTACAGCCAACAACTGGTTGGTTTTTAGCTCATGCAGTAGAGGCTCATGCTTTAAGCTCCAGAGGCCCCAGGTTCAATCCCACCCGACAACGACCAGGGTCTGTTGGCATTATACCAGCATTGCAAGGAACTGCAGATAATTATAAACCAAGGGTTATTGGGTGTTTCAGAAAGAATCCGGGGGTGGGGGGTGTGTGGTTAATTACACAGAAAGTACAGTTCTGGAGAGTGAACCTAGGGCAACCTGTTTTCAAGTTTAACTGGCAGAGCAAGCCAAGAATGAACACAGGCATCCACAGTTAACACCTAGCCCCCTGTGTGTCGCCAAGGCAACTAACTGAAAGAGCAGCAAGCTGGAAAAGCATGTTGAGCAACTGTCTGCAGGTCACTTTCAAAACCCAGCCCCCTTCAACACCCCAAAAAAACCCACTGCTGTGCATCACTGGTGCTATATAGAGCTAGAGTAGGAAATGGCTTAAAGTTAGCTGCATGAGGAGGTTGCTGCCCCCCAATGTAATAGTGGCCATGTAATTTCTCAACTTCCCTTTCATTGGTTTGTGCAGCTTTCCACAGTAATCACTGCACTAATGGAAGAAATCTGAGTCTGGCCTGCATGGTTACACTCACTATATTATTCATGCATCTAGCTATGGAAGAGACCCCATAGGTCATCCAGTCCATCTCTCTAGGACCAACACTAGATCGTTCTCTCTGGAACATTATGTTTTTGTCAGGTCCAGTTTTCAATGCCTATCAAGTGATGGGGCTCCCATCCCCGCTTTGGGAGATTATTCCCAAATCAGTTCCAATCCTGCAACTGAGGCACACGTTACAGCCACTTAGCCAGAGACGAGCCTCTGCATACACCATACAATTGACAAATACGAATAGGAAAGTTGTTATGCCCCAAGTCATTTAGAGCTAGATTGCAAAAGTCCTACAGAATATAGCACAGGACAGTGGTTTTCAAACTTTTTTTCCTGGCAACTTACTTGAAGCAAATTGTTGATGCCCATGATGTAATGGAGCTGGGGATGAACTAGGCTAGAGGAGATCTAAAAGGGACTTTCTAGCACTAGTGTTTAGGATTCTGTGATCTATGGAGGGGCAGGGGGTGATAGAAACTGGGATTGATTATTAAACAGCAACCTACAGTTTAAAGAGTAGAATGTAGCTTGTCAAACGCATATCACTATTTTGGGAGCTACCAGTTTCCCACCCCTTCCAGCTGCAAAGAGCCCGCACCGGTTTCATTAACAAGAGGCAAACATAAGGAAGAAGGGGGGGGTTGTGCTGACAGCCTTACACCTAGCGTAGAGTCTACACTGCAAAACAAAGGTGTGTTCTTAACTTAGATTAAAAAACAGCAGTGAACAGATGTCAACTCTGCTTTTCACTGATGTTAAGCTGGGGGTTGAACCTGGATTTGTCAGAGTCACTGCTATTTTAACCCTTGCTAAACCAATACCTGTCAGCTCACCCAAGTTAAGAACACTTTTTGGAGACAGACATATCTACAGTGGAGAGGATACTTCACCTGCCTCCCACGGACACTGTGGTGTGGAAGCCTCGTTGCCACTACACACTGCTGGAGGATCAGGGGTGGGGGGACTATCTGTTGCTAGGGCAACCCTGGGGCAATGGACCTTGACTTTATCATGTGATGGGCCAGAACTTTAGCCTAAGGTGGATGGAAGGGACAGGAAGATACAACATTTCCTAGCCAAAACCAGGCCTGGAAGAGAGGGGAAGGCAGGGAAAGAAAAACTTCAGAAGTCACTCAGGTTTTGCTCTTAACTAACGGTTTCATACAGCAGCAATGTGACCTAGCTTTGGATTGGGCCTCAGGAGACCTGGCTTCTACTCCCAGCTCAGCCACTGACCAGCGGGGTGACCTTGGACAAGTCTTTTCACCCCCTCTATCTCCATTTTAGAGACTGGGGATACTGAGGCAGTGAGATTACCTCCTTTGTAAAGCGCTGTGAGATCTACTGATGAAAAGCGCTTGGTATTATTTACTTTTGGACAAATTGTACTTTCCTGGGAGCAGCTTTGCCAGATGGGGTACGGACATCTCTACTGAGAAGTGGAGGTATAGATTTGTCACGTACACCGCATTTCAGGCCTGAAGTGCCCTCTTCCTAAACATCACCAACCCCAACCCCTCACGGTCCATCGCTGAAAGTTATTTCCTAGCCAAGTTTCTTGAACCAAAGAGAACGTCATTGTGGAAAGTATCCTACATGCTAAGAGACTGAGTCTTGTGTAGTTCTCAGCATACTTTACAGTACTTTCTTTGGACTCCTTCAGGAGAAGGGGCACTAAATACAAAGTAACATTCACAGCACCACAAGTGCATGGCCTGCTGCAAGTCAGAGGGGCAGGAGAAATCCTAGCCAATAACACTTGCATAGATCTTCAGAGCAGCACCCCCAAGTACCCCACAGAGCACATAGCACTGCAGGTTTAAGGGATCCTCCCAAAGGCTCCAATGTAGCAGCCCACATGGAGTTCGATTGCCTTGGATGGATGGCATGGGAGTGTTTGGAATCTCAGCTAGGGAGCCGAACTGCCCCCTTTCCTCCACATAAAGGATGAAGGAATCCAAGCAGCTCTGCTACTGGGTGTATACTGGCACCACCTTGCTGCAGGAGCCCTTACTGTATAGTCCCTGGCTTCTTCCTCTACACTGCTGCCAATATCAGCCGCTTGCAAGAAATTCCAGGTTAGACAAAACCCTGCAGTTTTTGGGGTGAAGTGTTGAACAGTGCAGAGAGGAAGGAGTGTTAAGGAGAGCATTGGGGTGGGTGGCAAGAAAACACTTGCCTTGCTGAGCCACAGCTGATCACAGCCAGGAGAAAGCAGTAATTTCCCCTTACTCCCACCCCCTAATTTGCATCAGAGCTGGGGCTGTTCTATGATGCAGCACATGCAAATGCCTGTTCTGCTCCCCACACCAGCTGGTCACTGTTTCCACTTCTCTTCCCTCCCCCACCCCAATTTGCAATCAATACAGCAGAGAGCAAGCCATGTGTGCACCACAGGTGGTGAGGAAGCCAGCTCATACAGCTGCTCTTGATCACCACAGCCCACTGCAGGAAATTCAAGCTAGCTGAGTGGGAGCACAGCAGCAAGTCTCAGAGCCCAGGTCTACAAACTCTGGCTCTCAGGGCTCATGCTGCAGTGCAAAAAACAGCTATGCAAAAATTTGCTCTTGGGCTCTGAAATCCACCCCACTCCCTGGGCTTCAGAGCCCAAACAAACATCGACACAGCTTCTTTTAGTAATGTAGTGTGAGCCCAAGTCTGTAGACCTGAGCTCTGAGACTTAATAATGTGGGTTTTAAAACAGTGTAAAACAAATCCTGTCAGACCAGGAGCAGCACAATTATAAGTCACCACTAGCCACATGATCTATCTTTTAGCCAAGTGTTGACTGACCAGCTAGAGGTCAGAGGAGGAGCTGCCTTGGGGAAAGAACCTAAGACTGGGACTGGATGTTGCAATGCATTGAAGGGGATCAGCACTTTTGTCCTACTCCCTTAGAGCTCTAGAAATATAGATGCTGCTGCACAGATCACAAGACAAGATGTGATCCCTAGTCTAGAAAGCTGCAATAAAAGCAGTTTCAATAGATGAAGGTCATGAGGCTTCAATAGGTAGTAAAGACTGAGACCCATCAGACTACGGGTTCTGGCCTGCTTCAAGGACAGAATGGATTCCCATACAGAGATTAGCTATTAACCCACTTACTCCCAAACTGAAAGTGTAGAAGAGTTTGAAATGCAAAAGCAGTCCTGTATGGTCTTGGGGAAGGGGACGGGAAATGAAGCAAGTGGACTGGGACAGGACAGCAACAGGATAGAGTTGTAGGGACCCGCAGTGTGGGAGGCAGGGTAATTGGAAGGGAGCAGGCATGTGCACACAGCCAAGGAGGACTACAGACAGATACTCTATAGAAGAAACCCAGCCAGCTCAGAAGGGAGGAAGAGCTACCATATCTGGGAGCCGCTACCACCAACAGCCTTGCCAGGTGCGGGTTGGGATGGTTGCATTAGGTCTGCTAGTGAGTAACACGGTTGCCCCAAACCTCATGGTTTATATAAGCACCACCCATCATATCTGCCCAACTACTGCTCAAGTCCAAGCACCCACATAGTCTGTTACACACACACACAGATGGACACTACAGAGTTAGTCTTTCCACTTGCAAGGAACTAAAATACACACTAAAAAGCCCAATTCACTAATTCTCTACATTTCAACAGGGGGAGAAGAAAGGGAGTTTAAGTCCTGATTCAGGCCCTGATGCTGCACCATTAGAATCCATAGGAGCTTTGCTGTGGACTTCAGTGAGCATAAGATGAAGCACCTGAAGAACTGTCCTCCAGAAGAACCACCTTCCTTCACTGCTCTTGTTCTCAGACCTAAAAACAAGCCTGGGGCAGACTGTCTCACTTGCTATTCTCACTCAGCTCTTCGAATGAGCCAAACCCTGACACATGCAGCTCATTCCCTAAATGTAAATGGCAGCACACAGAGAGAGCTCATGAGCAGTGGGTAACCAGGACTGACTACATCAACAGGGGCCCAAAATGGAGTGTTTCAGCAGTGGGTGGAATAAAGAGGATCTGCTGGCTGCATGGACTTGCCCGTGTCCAGATGAGGACCACAAGTTAGGGTGGTACTTCTGACAGTACCCGTGGGTGAAAAAATAAGGAACTTCCTAGTCCTTGGATACATGGTGCTGCTGGGCCTGGCAGGCACGTCAGGACAGACTGGACAACAGGGCAGATTGCGTATGGTGTTGATGCCCTGACTGCATTGCCTGCACATACTTTCCCAGCCTGGTTATGTCAAGGGCTCCCAGCCCCAAACCAGATAAGATGAGGAATGCATTACAGGTCTTTGTCCCAGTACCAACCCTTGTGTCTCTTGAAGGCTTATAGGGAAATGAAACTTACTGCATCTTGCTGGAAATAGATGAGTAGCCCGGCAGCAACCTGAGCTAGGAGGATCAGCAGGAGACAGGTGATGTACTAGAAAACAAACAGAAGAGAAGGTGTTAGCTCTGCTGGCTCCCCAAGCAAGTCTACATCAATGGGCAGCAGCCTCAGTAGGGCTCATGGCAAATCCTGACAATATAGGCCTTTCATACAGGAGTAAGCAGCATTCAGTCTGGAGATTCCTGGCTGATCATGAAAATGAAGAGCTAACAGAACTAGCTAGAGTTAGCGGCCCAATACACTTCAGCCATGGCCTGAAGCACTACCTCCACCACTAGGCTAGCTGCTGGGCCTGGGGAAGAGCAGACTCCACAGCAGGGAGATGAGCCAGTCTGGTAGGTAGGGGAGCCCCAATTACAGTGTCCGCATGTGACAGAACATGATGGTGCTCAGACCACTCCCATCCCCCACATGGCTTTTGACAGAAGTTGCTCTTGACACCACATTGAGGGGTGGCTATGTGGCACAGCCTTGGACATTCTCCTCAGCAGGTGTGCTCAGAAGGAGCAAGAGCTCCAGGGATTTTTTTAAAGTCAGTTTTACCAATCCATGGAATAGAGGAGACTTCACAGTGAGCCATTTGAAAGAGCCAGAGTAAGGCAGCAAGGAGAGATTCCTAGTGGGACATCTTAAGCTTTCTGCATTTACCACCAGAACTCAGCTCTGCTAGGAGACTGAGGCCCATTTGGGGTTCACTACTCTGTGACAGGCCCAACACACAAAACACCTCACACACTGGTGTCATGATATTTGTTTAAAAGGTTACGTAATATAGTTTGAAATCTAATACCACTGGTCATTAGGGTCACTGAAATGTTTTCACTAACTCTTGGTGAAAGTATAGATATCCTCCAATATGTCTTGGAGATGGTGCATAAACAAAGGTGACAAAACAGGTTTCTTTTATATAGAGGGGGGAAGGGTGAGGGGCAGATTTCCTGTCCAGAAAGAGAACTCTGACCTGCTGCCTCCAGGTCAACCAGTGGCTAACACTCCGGCAGCTTTGTAAGAGAGGGTGACCCTAACAAGCCCTGTATTTGCACCTTACACACTACTGTAATAATCTTTGTACAAAATGCGCCTTGGGAGGTATCATTTGAAAACTGATAACTCACTGATCATTAATATTCCTGTGTATGGACACTGATTTAATTCTAGCATATATCCATAACTCTTATGACTAAAGTGTTTTTAAACCAGGCACGTCAGGGGGGAGTTGGTAAGCAGGTCTGCCTTAGACAAAGGAATGTGTATTTGATTCTCTGACCAACCGGCTCTTCAGGCAAAGACATATTACATAAACAAAGCTGTTTGCTAACAAACAGTGGAAGGAAGAGCATCCACCTCTTCCCCACCTGCTCCATGTCACCCTCCTCACAGCTTGAATAAAACTGTATTTTAAGGGGTAATCCTCAGAAGAATCCATTTAAAAGTTTACTGGGCTATAAAGACGGGGGGCTGAACCTCAGGTGATAAGCAATTAAATCAACTGATTGTATACAAACTTACGGTGTTATAAAAAAGGTACAGAGTGAGGTCTTTTCTGAAACCTAGTGACACACTGGTGATCAATATCATTTGAAATATATGCATTAACACTGAGGAAATATGGATACTTAGTGACATCATGCTTTAAAATCTGTTCCCAAATAGGAAGAAACAGGTTCCCCCCAAGACTGGAGAGAAGGCAGCTATTTACCTGTCTCCTAGGTAAATTAAGCATGGTGGAATCAAAACAGTGGAAGCCCCATTTATACACAGAAGGATGGGAAGTCCACAAGGGAAAAAACAGCATGAGGGCATCCTGCCTCTTGAAACAAAAGCATCGAACTTTGGAAGATATTAAAAAAAACACAGAAGCCATCTTTGGCATCCCTCACAGACACAAGAAAACAGTTCTTGCAAGATAAAGATGGATCCTTCAATCAAGTGGGGATTGAAGTCCCTGGGAACTGAGAAAAACCATCTCAAACAAAGCCTGTACCTTGCTCGATGTAAGTTATAGATTTTTAGATGTGTTTTCTCCCTTTTATTTTCTTGTAACACTTTCTAACTGTATTCCTTTTACTTGGCATCACTTAACCTATGTCCTATTGTTAATATACACCAAACCCTCGCTAGAACACGGGATTTGGGTCCATGCGCGGTAACGCATTAACACGGGGACCACATTATAGCGGGGACCATGTTAAAATGAATTGTAAGTAAAGTAATTAAATTTGGGATCCATGGCTGCAACCGCGTTATATGTGAATTCGCGCTATATAGACACATATTCTAGCGAGGGTCCAGTGTATTTGTTTTATTTGTACTATAAAGCAACTTAGTGCTGTGTTTGAAGGGAAGAGTGTATTCACCCCTGTAAGTTAATAAGCTGTGATGTGATTTTGGGTCTTTAAAAGGAAAAAACATACATTTATCTGAGCCGTCCAGGAGAAGGCTGGGCATTGCACAGCACAATATTGTGGGGTAGGTTTTTTTTGGGCGGGGGAGGAACTGGGGTCACATTCCTGGTTGTAACCAAGGCCAGTGGAAGCCAGAGTGGGTCTGTAGACAGGCTGCGTGGGACAGAGCTGCTGAACCAGGGCTGGCTACACAGCATCCAGACATTCAATGGGTGGCCTGCATGCTTGTAGGCTGGCTGTGAGTTAAAGCAGCAATGCACTGTAAGGAACCTAGGATTACAGGAAAGCGGAGACAACCCCTTACTAGCCTGCAGGGCCGTTCTTTGGCACATGCAGCATATGTGGCTGCGTAGGGCACCTGAAAATTTGGGGCACCACCGGGACAGCAGGTAAGAACAGGTCAGCTCCCGCACGCCCAACGCATGCTGCGGTCTCCTTAGGCAGGGGCCGTATTCACGGAGCCAAATGTGCCAGCGCGGCACATTCTGAGTGAGGGAGGGGGTACGGGGTCTCTGCGGGGAACTGTGATTCTCCACCACCGTGAGGTAGGCCGGGCAGCTTGGTATCCTTTGATGCCTTGTCCCTCCCCACAACCCCACCCCAGCCTGCTGCAGCATCTGCTGCGTAGAAAGCTCAGTGTGTGTCAGCAATGGGGGGAGGTTCTTCTGGGGGTCCATGGGTGGGGGTGGTGGCTGTACCCCAAGTCTGGCATAGGGGCACCAGTTTAATACTGCTGCATAGGGCTCCATAAATCCTAAGGGCAGCCCTGCTAGCCTGGATTGCACCCCACATCCCATTACACCTGCACTGCAACAGGAAGCAAGTCTCTTCTCCTCACACCCACCCCCTTTATCCATCTCTGCTGGCACATAGCCTTGTTCTCTCAGGGCTGCAAGGAGGATGGAGAGGTCACAGAGGACATTTCTTTTCTGCATAATTGGTTACTGAGATGTGGAGAGAAAAAAAAAAAGTATACACTGCAGAGAAGGTAGCCAAGATGGCAAACTAAAGCCCCAACCAGTCTGAGGCTGCCCTGCTGATGGTTCCAGTCCCCAGACACTGACTCACTCCTGCATCACTCTCAACAAGGAGATCACCGAGCCAGGGAGAAGCAGAGGACAGGGGCATAACCAGAAGAGAAGTTGGGCACGTGGAGTAAAGGCAGCAGTGATTCACTCACCAGACCCAAGAGGCATCGGACCTCATTGACTGCTCCAACACAGCCCAGGAACCCCATCAGCATGGTGACGGCCCCAACTCCAATGAGGATGTATGCACCGACCTTTAGCGATTCAGATGAGGTCTCTGTGGGAGACAGGGAAGAGAAGAGTCAGCCATCAAACAAGCACTTACTGTCAAGCGTTTTGATTAGTGCCTGCACAAGCATTAAAGGCCCAAACCTATGGCTGCAGGAGGGTTGACAGGGGCACAAGGCAGAAACTTGAATAGAAAAGTTTGTCTGTGGGTATAAAGGTTGCCTCCCTTCCCCCAAACGCTCTTGAACCTGCAGTCACTCATTCAGTCGGTTTGTAAATCTCAGTAAAAGACTAGTCACATCTTAGCTTCTTGTCTCACTTATAATTCCCTGACTCTGTCAATGGAGGACTGACCAGAGAGCATACACTGGTACTCCTAGAGATGGGACAGGAGCAACACACCCCCTTTCTACCTCATCACTATTTCCCAAATTCTTAATATTCAATAACTGAATGTTGGGGGAAGTTCTACCCCTTTCCCTACTTAAATACTATCTCTTTCATTGGCCTTTTCACATTAACAATCCAACTTTATAAACACTCTTGTCCAGTTTCCTCTCTCCAGTTTCTTCTCATCTATTTGCAGGAAAAGAATACTATGAAGGACCAGATGACTAAATGCTCCTTTCCATGTGAGTGTAAGAGAGAGACTATAAGTTGGACTCCCAATTGGCTTGCAGGTGTTGGCTGGCCAAGATAGGAGGTATTTGAGTTACTTGACAATTTGAATGTAATGCTCTGATGCCAGTTGCCAGCCAGCGCTGTATAAAGGAGTGCAAGGATCAATTATTCCAGATTTAATACAGATCATGCCTAATTGTAGCTCCTCTTGCACAATCCATTGGCAATCCTTGCACTTTCCTGGAATGGAGGCTGCCCCCTTGCCTCCATTTGTATTAAACCCAATTTGGAAGGTGTAACCTTATAGGGGAAGGGCTCAGCTGCTATTTCAGTCTTCACTTCCTTCCCAACCATCCTTAAATAGCAATTGCGGAAGCTACAGAACAGAGGCTTGCATTTATGCTGGTCATAGAAGGACTATTCCTTGGAGACTGCCCACCCCTATGGAGAGGTGGGAGGGAGGTAAAAAGCAGGTTTAACCAGCTTATAAGGAGCCTCACAGTGCCCAAGACAGACATTTAGCAACACAGGAGTTTCAGGATGTTGGGGAATTCTGTATGTCGCGTGACCAGTAAGGGAGGTTACATGACTTAAAAAGCGTGGTGGTGCCTCTTCTTAGGTTGGGAGTCCCAGAAAACAAAATCTGCTTTAAAAATCAAGACTAGGTCCAGGACAGCTTCAGAGATTTCCCTTCCCAAACCTCCCCCCACCCCTTAACACAGCTGTAACACATACCCAACTGGCACTGGAAACACATTCCACTAGCATGTTCTGGAAGGAAGGCAGGTAACCATGAAGGCCAGAGTCATTCATTGGAATAGCCTGAGCCAGCTCTTAACCCAGACTGGCAGACAATCCCACACCATATATTATCAAGAACATTAGCACACTCCCTGCCCTCTCTCCCTCCACACACACACACACACACACACACACACACCCCCAAACAAAAAAAAAAAAATCCCAACAGCTTTGGGACTGGATGCATCAAGACATCACATCTCGGCCCTGTGACTGGACAGGTTTGCCTTGCAGGGTGAAGTGTTTATGGGAGTAACCCTAAATCAAAGTCCAAGTTCACACTCATGCATGTTAGCAGAGAGCTCCACAAATCCCCTATTGCAATGCAGGCACGATTGGGGCTTTTGAACACTTGTTGAACAGCTTTGCTGCTAGGAAGCAATTGATGGGCCATTTCCACATTAAAAAATTAAAAAAAAAAAAGTTATTTCCAACCCCAGAGCCAAAGTCTTCAAAAGATCCTAGGCTCCTTGCTTACAGCATCTTGGCTCTCCAAGGAAGGCTCTGCAGACTCTACTGGCAGGAGATTCCTGCTTTCCATTCCCCCTTGCTCCATGTCTTCCCCTGTTCTGGGCAGGCAGCCAAAAGGAGAACAGGGACACGTAGGCCCCTTTGGCAGGATGCTGGAATGCCCTGCTGTGCAGAATTCTTCCCCAGTCTCTGGTAGGATTACTAAAAGCAGAGGGGAGGAAGAAAGTAGTACAGCAAAGAGGGGAGTAGGGCAGAGAAAGAACTTAGCTTGGAAATCTCAAGGAAGGAAGCCTAAAGCCCTGTGGTGCACATTCAGCAGAGATTAAGGGTAAAATGGGAAAACAACAGAGCAAAGACACGGAAAGACTCTGAGGCCAAGCAGAGCAAAGTGCAGCGAGTCAAGTCAATGTGTCCCGCACATTTTGTTAGTTTTAGGAGTGTGGTGAAGCACTGGAATGGGTTACCAAGGCCGGTGGTGGAATCTCTATCCTTAGAGGATTTTAAGGCCTGGCTTGACAAAGCCCTGGCTGGGATGATTTAGTTGGGGTTGGTCCTGCTTTGAGCAGGGGGTTGGACTCCTCCAACCCTAATCTTCTGTGATTCAATGGTGCTGTGCCAACAGAGGTTTGAATCAGACTTATGGTGTCATCCAGTTTAATAGGAACAGGTGTCTCCTTCTGGAATGCTGCAAGTAGACAGGCCCTGAGCAAACCCCTACGGCTGCAAGTGTAAAGGGATGCATCTCCATTCACAACCTCATTGCTGTAGCCCCCTTGGGATTCTTCCCCTTGTAGAGGCTGAAGTAGCAACCCAGATGCTGCAGTAAAATCATACAAGCATCAATGATTTGGGGCTGTTCTAGCATTTAGTGAAGGGGAGGGGGATGGAACCCTATAACCAGGTCACATTTTCCAGAAAGCCTCCTCATGGTGTCCAAATTGTACATCTCTACAGATGCACGGCACATGGCTGGGTAGCCAATGCCACCTGCAGTCGTCACTGGATAGCGAGTTGGATGCAGCATGGCAGCTACTGCTACTCCTTACTCCCAGGAATAAAGTTGAACCATGGTAGGTTGCGTGCAAGGCTAGGCTCACACCACAGCCTTGATCAACAATTCTGGAGATGTGGGAAGTGCTTATTTTTTATTGTATTTTTATTTCATAATACTTTAAATACAAGAGAGCCACAAACAAATGACCTCTGTTGTGGGTGGCAATTACCAACTAACCAAAAGACCTTTAAATCCCACCCAGGTTTGGTTAAGCTAGTTCAATTTTTGGGCTGGCACAGAATGCATTGACCCCATTGAACAGGCCCAGGTCACCTTTCCTGACTGGTTATTTGTGAGTGAGGAGATTACTACTATACATGCAGGGGGCTGTGGACTTCGGGCTAGAAGGTGGGTTTAAGAACTGTGAGAGGAAAAAAGCTCCAATTAAGAATTAAATAAGAGTCCCAGTTATTAACCAAAATTAATGTATGTATGTGTAATCCATTGCATTTCAGCAAACAGCTTGAGAATCAGCTGCTCCTTTTGCTGTCTCCCAAGACCCATATCCTCTGTGGATTAACTATTTCAGGCAGAAGCTGTCTCGCTGCACAGCTCTGGGCACACTGAAAGTGACTAGATAAAGTAAGAACACATTTGAACTGGGGGCCTGGCAAGTAGCAATGGTCCAGCCACATGGCTTGTAATGTATTTATCTGGAGCTTATGTCTGGGAACAGATCTGGGATTTCTCAAGAGCTTTTATTTAGAAGTAGTTTCTCTTAATGGGGCACACTTTAAGGTCACTTTCCCTGGACTGATCCAACAGCCCCTCTAAACAAGTTCATTAATTACTGATGTTCTTCTAAAAGCCAGCCAGAAGCCAGTCTTTGCTTAGAAAGATGTTCCTTGGCTGCGCTGCTATGCTGTAGAAGTCCCACCCATGCCTTTGTATTTAAAGAGCTAAAATACACAGAGGGACAGATCTCCCACAGGATATAAATCAGAAGATAAAAAGGAAGGAGAATGAATCATGGCCTTACGCAGAACTGAAATAAAACTGCTTTTGTCGACTAAGATCCACACTCCAAAGCCCAGGATCACAGCACCCAGGATCTGAAAAAAGCAAGAAGAGTGAAAGTCACTAATTAAAAAACAAATAGAACAAAAAAACCAAAACAGGGAGTGGGGGACTGGTGGCTAAGAGCTAAACAGCCAGTATCCCACTGTTCCCACCCATCACACACCCTTCCCCACGATCAAGCAAGATTAAACAGTCACTCCTGGAAGTAGTCGTCCCAGCTAGCAGCACACGGGCTCTAGGTTCTGCTGTTTGGAGATTATTCATGTAGTGCTTGAGTTCTATATGGTGCTGCAGAGGAGGAGAGCTGAACAGACAGTAAAAAGGCTCTCTGCTCTGAAAGGCTTGGAGTCTCAAGGCACAAGCTGTACAAGTACAGAGCAATGCTGTCCAGAAAGAGCAGCAAGAGGCAGGTATGTGTCACACACAGGTAGACCTTACAGGAGCTTTTGGACAGAGCCTTGCTGCTTGATCCAGGGTTGTGCTTTCACAGGGATGGGGTACCTTGCAATAGGGACCCTCCAAGGGAGGATGAGCTAGCTCAGCGGACATGCCAGACCTCTCATTTGAGACTTGGGCCCACAGGTGCAAAGCATCAAACGCAGAAATCAGTGCTGCCGAGCTCAGGCTCCTATGAGTAACATGCACAACCAGAAAGTTCATCTCCAAGGAACAAAGCTACAAGCTATGGTGCATGCGGGTGGCAGCTGAGCCCCTGAAATGGGGCCAAGACGTGACAGGAAAACTGAACAGACAACACTCCCCTGGCATCAGCCAGCTGACAACCTCTGGGGATAGCACAGACTAGAAAGGGCTGGTTGTTCCAGAGAGAAGCAGCAGCAGCCCATCCCCAGCTACCACACAGCCGGCCTGGGGTGAGGATTAGTAGTAGCACTTTTCTGTAGCTGTGTGTTCCTGATGAGAGGCTAGAGAGGCACCAGATTGACTGAGAATTACATTTTGTTACATGCACACAGCTTCCCTGGCCCTTATACTGAGACAGAACCCTCACTTCACATACCTACCTTGTACCACAGCATCTTTTATATTGGATTAATTCTAACAGTGAATTCTTCAGTGCCCAGATACCCCATTCAGCATCACAACCCCACTGCACAAGTGGAGGGCAGGGTCCCTATACCTTCAAAGCAGCACACAGATCAGTCTTTCCTTCATTTGTTTAACTGCAAAAGGGACACTCAGAACACAGGTTTGCAGCTGTGATCTGAAGCACGAGGGAAGGAGACTCAGGGAAAAATAGAGAGGTGGTTCCAGATGGCAGGAGCTGCCGAGAAGGCTCTTGAACCAAACAGTGACAAGACTTCAGGATGGGACGGAGAAGGCCAGACGAGCCAAGAGGGGAAGATGCAGATTGTGGACCAGCTGGAGCACGTTCACAGAGGTTTGTAAAAACAAGGGAAATGAGAAGCTAGCTCCTGAAGTTCCCCTTGCCATATGTTTTGAAGACTGTTGTAACTTTACAGTCCTTGCCAATGCCACAAAATGTCTCTGCTCCTCATACCAGCTGGTATAGAATTGGAGTGTAATTACACCCCACAAGAATCTGCCTTCTATTTCCTTGCTTAGGGGACAGCAATGCATGGCCGGGAGGGGTGCTTGGTAGCTGTGCTGGTGGCAGATGACCAAAAAGGATAAGAAGCACACCAACCGAGTTAGAAGAGAATTAAGTGGCAAATAAGTTACATGCAGACAAAGGGAGAGAGTGAAAGAAATCGCATCTCAGTAGTGGAAAACTTGCAAAGGCTATACACTGTAAGGGGCAGGAGGACTGGATCTTGTAGTGTGCATTAGTGCCCACCCTTATCTTAAGCTGGACTGTGTTTAGCCCAATACTGGAAAAATGCCATACTGGCCCTCTTCCTGTGGGCCTGAGCATACTGCAGTATCCCAGGGCAGGGTTGGACAGCAGATCAAGCCAGGGAGTCAGCTAAAACGCAAGACAGAGAGGGATGTAGGAAAATCTCAGCTAACATGGCATTCCTAGGGACTGATGAATTTAACCCATAGTTTCTCAAAAATATTCAAGACAAATATGTGATCACTGCTCCGTTAAGAAGTCATATGCAGCCAGGATCTTGGGGTGTCACCTATGTTCTAGTGTTACTGACAAAAAACAGAACTTCTGCTAAGTTATGTTCCTGGGAAGTTATTTGTTATGAGGCACTGGGATCATCCATAATCTCTGTTCACTCTGCTCTTCGCTCTAGTCTGCAAATCTTGTGCTTGCCAGAAGCTGCCGTAGAAAAACGGAGGGGCAGGGGAAAGAGGAAAAAGGAAAAAGACAGGCTGTCCTGTGACTGCACTGCTGTCCCCTAAGAGGATTTCAGATCCCCTCCATGTCCATGCCAGTCCCCTGAGCACAGCTAATAGGGTTACTCCTTCCACTAGCTCCAGTTCAACATCTTTCTTATTTGGTCTGCGGGTGGGAAGTGCTGAGCTCCCATGGTGCGAACTGCAGTGATCAGTGAATTGCAATGGATTAAGCAACGGTGTCCCCTACAAGCCTGTCCCCTACAGGAGGGGACAGGATTCTAGCCAGGGCTCCTGATAGAGTGAAAAGTGTCAGCCTTGCTACCCAGCACTGCAAATAAACTCACTTCAGTGACACACCAAGCCACACCTACTGGAAAGTGACCATTATGGCCTCACACCATACTTCCCTGAGAGGGATAATTACAGGGCCCAGCTCAGTGCTATCTTGGGATAACAGTGTGGTGTGTCAAGACGGACTGAGGTCATGTTCTGCCGAACAGACCAGCTAGTCTGAGGGTTGATTTTCAACTTTTGAGTTTTGTTCAAGGGGACTTTGTGCCTCACCTCACATAAATTAAGAGGAGGGCAGGGCAGAGAACCGTGCAGTGCTGTGGAAACACCTCGTCTATTCCCCACGTCTCAGTACCCCATCCTCTTAGGGTCTACGTTGCGTAGGCCTGCAAATGGCACAGGGTTTCAATAAGGCTGAAGTTATGGTCCTGCAACATGGACAGCATGTCTGTTTGACTGAGGCTGGAGCCCCACACGCACACTGGAATCATGAACTCCAAATTGAAAGCAGCAACCGCCGCCGCCACTTGCTCAGCTTACTTGGTTCAGAGATGAAGCTAGATGACTAAAGTAGGTGGTCTCCCCTTGACTGCAAGTCTACTCTTCACCATCCACTGCATTAAAAAAGCCACAGCCAGAGAGCAACATACCACTATATACAGACTCAGCCTTTCCCCACTCAGCCCCACAATGCCAGTGCCATCGCCACTTAGCCTTAGCTCTGAAGCACTCAGACTTTTGTCTTTCCCATTTGCTGTAAGGAGAAGTAGAGAAAGCAGGAAGCATAGGTGAATTCTCTATTCAGTGGAGCTTTGTGACCTGCCTTGGCTGCTCAGGTCTCCAGCCCCTCTCCCCTCCTCCCCCCACAACACATCCTTCCTGGTCTCCCTAGGGCTTCTTCAATTCGCTATGGCTTTATCACCTAGTACTGGACAGGTGTCATTTCAGTGTCTAAACAGCAGCCAAAATTGCATAGTGTTCCCCTAATGTTTTAGGGATCATCTTCAATACGACCAGAGAGCTCATTTCAACCAGGCAAGGACTCTAGGTTAGAGGCCTTGACCATGAAACCAGAACAAGGAAATATTCCTTCCTTTGGTCCTTTCTAGATAGCAGACAGCAAATGGGAGCTCAGAGCCCCAGGACCTGGAGACCTTTGCCACCCAGTTAAAGCCCTACAGTGGTTGAGACCTGTAACTCCATAACTGCATGCACATGCTCAGACTTCACAGGGGAAATCCAAACACACTGACAATCCCTGGATTTGAGAATAGTTTTGACATGGACATGTTCATAGCATTGGTTCCTCCAGCCCAGGTCAGTAGGATGGAGGTGCCAATCACATGGCTGCAGCTGACAGGTTAAATGGACCACAAAAGTCAATCATAGGTATTAACATGCAAGTTCTCCACAGGCATGGGCATTTCCTGTTGTCACTGCTGATCTGCAGAATGACCAACCACTTGAGCTTTACACCCCAAATCCATCCTGGCTGGAACCAAACCCACCCCAGCATGGGCCTGTCATTTCAGGTAGAGGGCAGTCACCTGTTATTCACTAGCCTCAGCTAGACAGAGAAAAGTCTCAGGGACTATGAGCCCCTGCTACTCCCAGAAGCAGCACTCAGCACCCTTGATAGGGCTGCCCAGACATAAAAGAAAGCTGGGTCCATTCACTTGAGTATTCACAGTGGATCCAGCTCACTGTGATTCATGCTTTGTGTAAGGCAAAAAATCTCCATCCAGTCCTTGAGTTACTCTAAGGGAAAAGCCTCCAGCTGCCACATGTTGCCTCTTGGGCACATTGAGCATTAATGCAAGTCCCCTCTTCCCACCAACATGCACCCACATGGCAACAGCTTAGATAGAAGTCTGCTCTGAATCCTTGTGTTAAGGAGAGCATCACTCTCAAATGGAGGCCACTTCTAGAGGAACACAGCAGCTTTGGGATACTGTCTCATCTCCTCCCCACCTCCACTGCAGAGTGGGACAAATTGCTGGGGGTACTGCTTGGCTCTCCTGCTTCAGAGCTGACCCCAGAGTGAATACGCCTCTAGATGGTGGGGGTAATATCTTTACTACTTATGTGGGGCCCTCAATGGAGCCTGCCTGGCCCAGGGAGGGATGTGCAGGCCTCATTTGGTCAATACCCCGCCCAACTCATTGTCCCTAGTTCAGCACTGCGGCCCAGCTTTCCATTGCGCAGAGGCCTGGTGCTAAGTCAAACAACAGCCTTTGTTTGAAAGGTCACAGGAGAAGCAGAAGATGACAGTTGCCCAGAGAACAGCTGCTTCCCATCACCTGCAGCCAGCCAGCGGAGGCCCAAGGTCCCCGAGAACCCTGCTGCAGAATTCCAGCACCAGCTACTCCTCCCCTCACCATCTTTTGACCTCTTTCCATACAAAATGTGGGAAAATACTTTGCAGTTTGTGGATCAATTTGAAGGAGCAGCTTGGCTCTGCCCCCTTCCTCCCTCCCCCTGCCAACTTAGAGCTGTCCCATGGGGGCTCCCCAGGAACACTGGTTTGCTGGCTGAGAAGGGGAAGTGCAGGGGGGAGGGGAAGGGGGCAATGAGGAGAGGGTGTGGAATAAAGAGACTTTGCAATCCGCACTCAAACACTGCAGCAGTAGCAGCAAGGGAAAGAGAAGCAGGGTTATTATAGGGCAAGACAGCACTGCAGGCTATTGTAAGACACATGCAGCCTCTTCTGCCTCTCCTGTTGGAGAGAACCATCTCCATAGGAATGGTAAGCAGGGCTCCTGGAGTGCAGGTTATTTGTGGCCAAGAATCCTACCACTTGGTTACCCCACAGCTCCCCCAACCCCCATGAAGAGACCCTGAAACAAATAAGTGAGGGGAGAGGGGGAAAACCCACATTAATCCCCTATTTTCCTACTCGCACCTTTCTGAGACTGTTACACTGAATACACAAAGTGCCCCAATCCCTGTAACCAGGATAATAGTCCCAGAGTATCTCTCACTACCTCTCCCCATGATGCAGGGGGGGCTCTGTCCCCTCCCCAAGTTGCTATTCTTGCTGAACGCAAACCAGAACCTGCCTAAAAAGTGGCTGAAAGTCACAAATCTCTTAACGTTAGGGTCCCTCTGGACCCCAGCTCACCCCATCCATGCCCAGAGGAGTAGGGGGTTGTAAAGGATAGTTTACGGTGTGATACAACAAACAGGGTAATACCTTCTGTTATGGGCAAGTAAGGGGCAACAAAATCCTAACTCACCCCCTCAGAACTGATAGGCAATTACAGATAAGCCTGGGAACTAGTGTGCATTGGCAGAAGGGCCAGATATAATCCTGTAGGACTTCCTCTACCACCCCCACCCCCCCCAAACTAACCTAGACTAAAGCCAGTCCCCTCAAAGCTCTGATGGCCCTTTAAGACTCTCCCTGTGTATACTAAGAACATCCATGACCTTTGGTCCCTGGCAGTCTTTATTTGGAATCCTGGCTACTCCGAGAGGGAAGCAACAGAAACACATGGCAGGGAAAGAGCTAGCATAGCAAACTGAGGGAAACCAGATCCAGATGTGTCCCAGTTGCAACATCAAGGCCAGCACTCCAGGAGGCTGCAGCATAGCACAGCTTGAGGCACGACAGTGTGTGGGGTAGAGGAGTAAAGCCACACTCAGAGGATAAGCTCGGAAAGCAAAGCTCTCCTTTTACCAGGCTTCTCAGTCACACACATCCAGCAATATGGAGAGAAATGGGCAGAGTTTAACCATCACAGGAAAACTGGGGAAAGCGGGAGTCTGAAGCTAGGTCTACACTAAAGTAAGATCAGCCCAGTTATGTTGCTCAGGAGCACCGGGGGGGGGGGGGGGACGACGGACGACGATGACGGATGACTGGTGCTCCGAATCCACAGGCAGTGCCCCACCCCTCCCCAAATCAGTTCCCCCCCCCCCACACACACACACACACACTCCCAGGATCTTCTGCCTGCCAGCAGGCCCTGCAGCTCAGTGCCTCCCCCTCTCCCTGCACTCCCACCCATGGCAATTAAATTAACTGTTTCCTGCAGGAGCCTGGGAGGGAGGAGCAAGGACATGGCTCGCTCAGGGGAGGGGGTGGAATGAGGCGGGACGAGATGGGGTAGAGTGGGGGCTGAGCACCCTCTAGTACATTGGAAAGTTGGTGCCTATGCTCAGGAGTGTGAAGAATCTACACCCCAAGCAACATAGTTAAGCCAACCTAACCCCCAGCATAGACAGCACTAGATCAACAGAACAATTCTTCTGTCAATCTAGCTACCACCTCTCAGGGAGGTGGATTAACTAGAGCGATGGGAAGAATCCCTCCCATCACTGTAGTGAGTGTCTACACTGAAGCAAGAAAGTGGTGCAGCTGTGCTGCTACAGCATTTCTAGAGAAGACAGCCTGAGGCTTCCCTGCCCTAGTGATTTAGTAGAAAGAGCCTGAGGCATAAGGCCTTGTACCAGAGGCCTGAACTAAAGTAGTGGTCAAAGCTTTGGCCTCAGGCCTCTGATACAAGACCTATGTCTCAGGCTCTTTCTACTACAAGCGGCACCACCTTGAGACAGAGACAACAGAACAATCCCAGTGTGAATTCTACAATTTAGATCAGCCTGTGGAGAGCATTGAAGGGCACAGATATCCCAGCCATTAAACCAAACAGAGGAGATTTGTGGGGAAGAGCTGTGATTGAACGAGAAGTTGGGGCCAAACTCTCAGGTGACTATATGCCAGACAGAGCCTCCCATCCTCACCCAAACCAAGTGAGCCAGCACCAATAAAGGATTCTGAAGCAGCTCACACTGGGTCCTCTTCCCCAAATCCAATCCTCCTCACCCCACCAGGCAAGCCTGCACCAAGACCCTCAAAAATTCCACTTCAAATGGAAAACTTGGGAGTGATTCAGCTTTCTCAAAATCAAAACCAGCCACTAGGACTTGAAATGAAATTATGATGGTTCTGTGACACCTGCCTGACTAGCCTATTTAGAAGAGGAGGGAGGATTGCAATGGACTCCGCAGGTTTTGTGGCTTCACTGCTCTGTAGCAACCCTGTTGCTGCTGCTCCAGATGTGGCAGAAAAAGAAATGCAATAATGGCAAATTTCCAGGGAAGCAAAGGAGGCCCACGTTCCCCTTGCCATTGACAGAGGAGACTGTAGGCACTAGACACAGCAATCTGTCTACTTCAGGCAGGGGAGGGGATGGGAGTGTCTATAGCTGGAAGCCACATAAAACTGCAAGGGGCATCAGGGTCAATGATGTTGATTTTTCCCTACCAAAAAGTGGCCGGACTTTTGGAGTGGGCACCTATACTAAATTTTAGTTTAAGTCTGAAGTCTAAAGGTCACTTAATGGTCCACATCAGAGGCTAGATATAGTCCTTTCTGCCCACCCCCTAATTCAAAGCTACTAATTTACTCAAGCCCTCCCACAGAGGCACAAAATTACTTACAAAGAAGAGGAGGTTGAACAGGAAGAGAAAATACTTGGTGACTTTCAAACAGTTGGACCCCATCTTCCTTCACTTCCAGGATCTAAAAAGGGGAAAAAAAAAACACAAAGTCAACAATCCACATGTCAGTATATAGCCTCTAGACAGCATTAAAGGGGCACTGGTCATCACTAGAGATAGCTCTGAGCCACCATTTTGCCAGAGATACAGCTACATAATAGCTGGTTCTGTAGAGATCATGCTTGGGCCAGCTGGATGAAGGGTTCTCCTTATGGTCCGAGGATGGACCAGACTGACCACCACTGACAAAGTGCCACCTTTGTGGAAGTTTCCTGGATGGTGACAGAGGGCCTACAATGCAATTCTGCCAGTCACAGAAGGGATGTAACCAGCTAGGAGCCTGATAATTCCATTGCTATTTATATAAAAAGAAAAGGAGTACTTGTGGCACCTTAGAGACTAAGAAGTGAGCTGTAGCTCACGAAAGCTCATGCTCAAATAAATTGGTTAGTCTCTAAGGTGCCACAAGTACTCCTTTTCTTTTTGCGAATACAGACTAACACGGCTGTTACTCTGAAACCTGTCATTGCTATTTATATGTAATCAGCTGAGGCTCCAACTCCATATCCACAGAGGACACCGCTAAGCTTTGAAATGAATCTTGTCCGGCTCTTTCTGTATGCCCATTCTACCTTACTCCCCCAGAACTCTCTTCCTTTCTCCCTGTGGGCCTGTAGACAGTCAAAAAAGGGGTCAAGAGCCTAGTTTGAAAGATTATGTCAAAAGGGTCTTTTCCAAAAGAATTTCTAGGAATTATTTTGGGGCAGCTCCATGGCTGGCATATTCTACAGAGGTCAGACTAGATGATCAGAGTGGTTCCTTCTGGCCTTGGAATTTGTGTCATGCCAGCCTTGTACAACCCAGCCCAGTAGCCAGTCACCTGTGTGACTCTGAGAACCCTTAGTCATACAGGACAATACAAACCACAAGCTGTGCAATTCAGCAGCATCTGAATGAATGTCTTTGCTCAGGGACCCTTAAAAGATGGGCAGTCAAACTTGTCACCAAGATGTGCCTGCAAAAGCACCTTTAAATTTTCACTATAATGGGATGACAAGCCTCGGGATGTCGGTACCAGTAGCGCAGGCTCCAGCACCTCAGGCAGCAGTTTGATGATGCGGGCCAGAGTAGTACAGACAACACAAGAATGAGGGCAAGAGGCATTTGATGATCATACCACAACGTGTGTAGTCTGGTTTTCAGAGGATCATGGGAAGAATGTGTTGGAGATTATGTTTGGGAGACACCAGACTGGTAAGAGAATCCTGTGAAACATTTCCACTATTTGTCCTGTGTACTGAGACAGACATTGCAGAGTCATAATTCTTTGCCACAGACCAATGCAGCTTCACTATACCTGAAACAAGTTTTGGAATATCTGTCTGTCCAATTAACATGAACACGTAACGGGGGGGGAGGGGAGGGGAGAGAGAAAGAGGCCAGTGCAATTTGGGGCTGCATGAGTATCACATATTGGTGCAAGGAGAGGCTAGCCCATCCCAGTAATGCTTTTGGAGACTAATCTGCAATATTGTATTTAGTTCTGGATACTACTCCAGACAGATGTAGACAAAGTGAAGGGAGTTCAGAAGAGTGCTGGAGGGATTGAGTTAGTTTCTCTTATTTCATCCTAGAAAGGCATACCTTGGTTGAGTGACTGATACTTAAAAAGAGGAAGATTTCCACATCTCAGAGCTCCGTTTTCCTTTCCAAAATCAGGATAGCTTCTGGGGAGAATGTGAAAAGCTAGCCGCTTAGCACAGTTTAGAATGTTTGAGCTGCTCACTCAACAAGGACTGATGTCTCTTTAAAAGGACATAGTAACCCACAGGAAGGATGAGACTGGGGTAAAGCATCACTCCAATTAAACAGTCAACCCACAAAAACTAGGACATCAGCAGAGAGCTTTCTGGCTTTGGGTTTGTTCAGCAACAGTCACTGGAAGCCAGTGTGTTATTTTGTTTCAGTCCAAAGCTTTTGGCTAATCCTATTAAATATTTAGGTTAATTCTGAGCTAAACTGGAATGTAGGTTTCATTCTAATTGGCTAGTTTCCCCCACCAACCAGCAGTCACTTCTAGACTACAGGGAGGGAACACTGAACTCTAGCCATTGTGCAAGCAGGTATTACGGTCTTCAAGGCAGACACCAAGACTGAACTGGGTCCAAGGTTTGTAGCTGGACAGTAAGCAATGGGTAGGTATTTTCATATGACTGATGGGGAAGGGACAGTGTTACAGTGAGTTTGTGACCAAGTCCCAGCTCCCAGTCACACTCCCAAAATACCCAGCTAAGAGAAGTGAAAGCACAATAACATGTAGCACAGGCATTTTTGGGTGGGAAGAGTCACTGTGCATATGTCTACATTACAATTAGATACCCACAGCTGGCCCAGGCTTTGGGGCGGTTTCATTGCAGCGTATACGTCTGGTCTTGGGCTTTAAGATTGTGTGAGATGGGAGGATCCCAGACCTCAGGCTGCAACCCAAGCCCAGAAGTCCACACAGCAATGAAACAGCTCTGCAGCCTGAGCTCCAGGAGCCCAAGTCATCTGGCATGGATCAGCTGCAGGTTTTGAATTGCAATGTAGACATATCCTGGATAGGGAGTTGAATGGCCCCCCTCACTCACCAGAATATCCAAGCACCTCACAAACACTGCTAGGTTTATTCTCATAACCCCTATGAGATGGCATATCCTGATTTTACAGGCTTGGCACAGAGGCACAAACAGATTAAGTATCTTGCCCAAGGTCATGCAGGGTACATGGTAGAGCCTCGTCCTAATACAGTGCCTTTCACCACAAAGGTCATCCATCCTTTCACTTTGGGAGAGATTAAGGCAGAAAGGACAAACAGGGCTGTCTGGGAAGCAGTTAGTCACCCTGATACACAAAGTCAGAAAGTTTCTAGTATTGGAATTACCAAACTATACACAGAGGCCAAGGTGATGAATTAACTCAGCATTACAGCCTTGCATGGGCATGTTGCTAAACAGCTAATCACCCCCCCCCCCCATTTTGTTCATCTGTGAGCAGACTAATGAAGTTCACCTAGTCTAGTACTGGATCTCCAGCAGTGGCCAGTACCTTGCTCTAAAGCATGTGGTACAAGGACTGGCCTACTCCAGATACCAACATTTTGAACACCATCCCCCAAATACAGTAACATACACAGCTCTACTTTCTGGTGTTCTCTGGAACATACCAGCCACTCAATTCGGCTGCACAGTGCCAAGAACAGAAGGTCAGGCTATACAGCAACTACCACATTACCATTTTATGCAAAGGTAGGTTTTGCCCCATGGATGCACTGGCTACAGCAGGAAGCCAGTTTTACACCAAAGTCTCCATGGTCTTTGAGTGACTGCCACACTGCCTCCAGAGGTATGGCTTGTTTGCCTCTGCAGGAGCAGCAAAGAAGCTGTTTGTTCCAAGTCAGTTTACCTACAGCTCCAGAGGTTAGAGTTTTCCAGTTACCCACTAAACACTACATTGTGCAACAGCACAAGAGCCGCTTGCTTAGAATCTGGAAAGACCTCTACGTCATGGAGTCTCAGGGTGTGGTTGATGCCCCAGCCTGCACCCGGTCTCCTGGGAGTGACCCCTTTAGTGTGCCAGGCCACAAGGACCCACAGTTCTACGGGGGCTGGCCTGTGGCCTCCAGGATGCGGAGATTGGTCCTTCAGCACCAGTAATCCCAGTCTCTCTTCATGATTCCCCGCAGCAAATCCAGACTCCTGTGGGAGGCTTGTACCCTTCAGGGCATAATGCTGCAAGTACTCAGAGAGCAACACACTCAGCCTTTTCAAAACAAGTTAGCCATTTATTAGTCACCTGGCACACACAATCTGAAAGTCCTTAGGTTAGCAAAATCAGTTAAGGTAAGCCATACACCATCCTGGTCAAACCAGTGTCCTGTTGAGCCAGCCAAGCTATGATGGAGTCTGTCTCTGGTGATCTTCCCCCCCATTTCCCCACTTTGACCAAGGCTCCCGAGTCCCTCCAAAAAGGGGCCCTTCTTTCAGTCACCTGACATCTTGTTCTCCAGCTCAATCCAAATCCTGCCTGCTGGAGTTTCCTGCTGTTATGTGATGATTGTTCAGTCATGGGGGCACATTTTGGTCTTGCTGGACCCTCTGCTGATTTGGATTACTTTGAGCCAGTTCTTTAATGACAGTATTCATTCCCCCCAGACAGCAAGGTCACATCCACACCCCCTCTCCTGCACCATTCCAAGAGCAGTGTTAACACTTTTTTACTCAGTAGGTAGCAATGCAATGTACAGAGGGAAACTGAGGCATGCCTATGCTTCATAAAAATATTGCCAAAACCTCCCATTTCATCACAACCTCTAGGAAGTAGTTCAGTTTTTACTGTTTTTTTTAAATGTCTTGATTTCTGCCAAGACTAAGGACACCCTTGTTTGCATGAGGGATTGTACTTGGTGATGGGAAGCTGTACAACAGCTCCTCACATTCTTCTAGCTCATGACACTATCATGAGTGAGGGGTGCAATTGCTGCAAACCCTGCAAGAGAGCGTCCTGTACACGTTCCTCAGCCAGTCTCAATGGAGCTCTCAGGGAGCTAGCTCCCCAGAGAGAGGTGGGGTCTGTGTGTTGTGATTCTAGCTCTTTCCACTAGCTGAAATATAAAAGCCAAATACTGTAACCTGCTGCCCAAGCCAATAGGGATTTAGCATCAGCGTCCCCAGAAACGATTCACCTCTTATTCTTTAGGGTTCATGGCAGTTTTGCAGTGGACACTAGGCAGTCACATGACCACTTAGTTGTCTCCAGTGGGGCTCATGAGAGTCTCTTAATACTTAGGGAGGCGCAGAGGGGCATGTTAAAGACTTTAACAGGGAGTTGTAAGAACAGAGTAAAGTAGGGGAGTATTCTCCCCATCTCAATGGGGAAACACAGACAGATTTGGGGAGGGACTTGATCACATAGCAAGGAGCATCTCCCACCCCCAGCGCAGTATTTTTTAAATACACACACACACACACTCTGATGTTAGAG